GTTTTGTCATAGAAGGAAAAGAACGAATGGGATGCCGCCTAAAGAAATTAATTTATGGATTAAAACAAGCTTCAAGACAGTGGTGCTTGAAGTTTGATCAGACAATAAGGAATTTGAGGTTTAAAGAGAATGTAGAGGACAATTGTGTCTATGCAAAGTTTAAGAATAGGAAGTTTATCTTCCTTGTCCTGTATGTGGATAATATCTTACTTACTAGTAGTGATGTCAGTCTACTACTAGAGACAAAGAAGTTTTTGTCCTCAAAATTTGATATGAAAGATCTTGGTGAAGCTTCGTTCATTCTAGGGATCGAGATTCACCGAGATAGAAGTAAAGGGGTATTAGGACTGTCACAAAAGGCATACATAGAAAAGATCTTAAAGAAATTCAGTATGCACAAATGTAGTCCCTCACCTGCTCCTATAGTCAAGGGCGATAGATATGGGGATTTTTAATGCCCTAGGAACCAGTTTGAGATCGATCAAATAAAAACGGTTCCATATGCTTCAGCTGTCGAAATCTTGTAATATGCTCAAGTATGTACGCGCCCTGACTTGGCATTTGTTACCGGGTTACTTGACAGATTCCAGAGCAATCCTGGAACAGAACATTGGTAATTGGTAAAGAAAGTCTTGCGTTATTTGCAAGGAACGAAAAGCCTCATGATGACGTATAGAAGATCAGATTCACTCCATATAGTGGGATATTCTGATTCTGACTATGCGGGAGATGATAAAAAATCCACGTCTGGATATGTATTCACTCTCGCAGGGGGAGCTATTTCATGGAAAAGCTCAAAGCAAACCGTCACTACATCGTCCACAATATATGCCGAATTTGTAGCGTGTTATGAGGCAACGGGGCAGGTGAACTGGCTAAAGTTCATATCCGGTTTAAAGGTGGTTGACGACATCTATAGACCACTTAAGTTATACTACGATAATAATCCGGCAGTACAGTATGCTCACAACAATAAGTCAAGTGGTGCTGCCAAACACATTGACATAAAATATTATGTTGTGAAAGATAAAGTCCGGGATCATGTCATAAGTCTTGAGCATATAAGTATCAAAATGATGCTCGCGGATCCGCTTACAAAAGGCTTACCACCCAACGTGTTCAGAGAACATGTAGCTAGCATGGGTTTAAGGAAAAGCCTAAAATTCCTGGATAAAAGAATGCCCAAAGTTAAGTATCTATTTCAGAATAGAGTGGTGTGTTGTAGCTGTTAAATTTATCGGCAATTGACCGTGACGATGAAACATGCTCTATGCGCTAATCTGTAATGGAATGAGCAAAAGTAAATGATATAAAATTTAAAGATGGTAGTGAGATCAAGGGGGAGAATGTTAGTTGATCTCCACCAATAGGTCCAACGGCGTATTGGGCCTTTGGATATGCGCCCTGATCGGGGGTGTCCAACCCTAATATAGTTGGTGGGTCCCTATCGCACAGCACTATAAAGACAGGTGAGGATCAGGGCTCTAACTACAAGGTTGACTGGAGCCGCTGTAACCCACCAACAGAAAACCTAACCCGATCTAAAGAGGGTGCTGCCAGCGACGGGAAGACCCACTGACTTCGCCGCCACCAACCTCACCGTCGCATCTGCATCACCACTGGACCTTGCCACCACTACGTTGGACTCCTGCGCACCGAGCTGCCACGACACCGGCGTCAAGCCGCTGCGGCGCCATGGACCGAATGATGACCTAGGGCGAGTTACATCAACAGTTTCCCTATCTAAGTAAGATGTTTACCCCTGATCTACGTTTTAGAGAGACGCTGTGTTTACCAACAACCTTTTGTCAGTATGGACTTCCTCTTAAGTCCATTACCTGACTAAATAGTCTTCCATTGATTGTAGTTGGTTAGATATAAACTCAAGCGGACATCCCGGTACTGGAGCCTTCTCATTTAGGTTTTAGGCTTCAACAATGGGCGTAGGATGCAGAACTAATGAGTTGGTCTATGACTGCACCCAACTAACAGCTCCCGACAAACTGGCAACAGTGCAGCACTATATACCTACGTACTACAGCAAACCTGACTTCCCTCAATGCTCGAATGGCAGGAAGCCAAACATACGAATCTGAATCATTCAGGCATGGCCCGTAGTAGGAGTATCTCACTTGGCCACTTCTTCAAATCAGATACATTACTCGTCGGCAAATAGGAAAAAATAGCTTAATGCTGTGATTGCGCGGCTAATTATTTATCTTAGCAGCCACACGTGTGTATATTGGGGTGAGATGTCGTTCTTCTCGTGCCATTGTGCTGCGCTGCTGTTGTCTTTCCCATCCCGCCAATGACGACATGTCATCAGCGCCGAGAGAGCAATTTTTGTATGTATGGAGAAAATTAGGCTGGCTTATTTTGGCAAGCAATTATTCTCGTATTAATGGTGATTGCTCTAATTGCTCTAGTCGACTAACGGCAGGTCAATCACCTTAATGCTGTGATTGCGCGGCTAATTACTGACCTTAGCTGCAATATGAGTATATATGGGGATGAGACGTCGTCCTCAGTACAGACAATTCATCCCCTCTTCGTGCCACTGTGCTACGCTGCCGCCGTCTTCCCCATCCCGGCCTGTTGCCGATGTCATCGGCGCCGGGAGAGCAGGTCTCCAAAGCCAACATCATCTCGCGTCCCTACACGGGGTAGGGGCTGTATCAGGTTTTTGGGAAGCGTTGTCGCGACTGCTCGCTGAACGTCTTCTTCCCTCTACGCCGGCGATCGCAGGTCTTCATCGACAGTATGCTTCGTCTACTTTTGCACTACTTGTAGTGCTGACAACCCCGCTGTAAGAATGTCTCTATTTTCTCCGCGGTCCATTTTCACGTTCTTTATGCTACTAGTACTAGGCGGCTTGAGTTCGTTTTAGATCGTAGTGCTAATGTTAAATCGTACATCTATGTTATATGTTGTTGTTCTTTTTCTCAATATGGAAATCAATTTATACATCACTGAATTGCTATTATTTTTAATAAAAACAATCCAGTAATCCACATGAAAAAAGCGTAAAAAAACATCATCGGCAGCTTACTACCAGGTGCTGCGTGCTGCCGAAGACGGCAGCCTGCGCGTTCTTGTAGGTGCTGCAGCCGACGAGGTAGAGCATGACCGACGGCAACGGTGGCGGCGACCAGAGCGATGTAATGATGTTGGCCTTCTACTGGCTCCGGAGCGCCTTCCAGGACTCGCACTCGTAATAGAGTTTAAGGCATGCTAGATGGTGGGTGTAGGAAGCGTGGCAGGCGGAGGGAGCCCAACAGACGTCCATTCATGCACCTGGATTTGAAACGGCATCGTCTGAGCTTTTTAGGCCAGTATAGTTTCATGACGTGGTTTATAAGACAGCCATGCCACCTAGAATGAAAGGAAATGTTGATAAAAAACACTCCTTTTTAACGGAGAGTTTTTTTTATAGTTTTATAGACATTTAATTTCATAACTCATAGAAAGTTGGTAATATTGTTAAGAGAGTTTCATCTCCATGAAACTCACCTCTCCTCTCTCTTCTTAAAAATCTTGTCACATCATCAAAAGCGCTTCTGTAGCAGCTCATTAAATACAAATAAAACTCTGATAAAACTCCCACTAAAACTGCCTCACGTGGACGTCTCTTGCGAGCGTTGTAATGAAGGGGGATTGTTGGACTTAGCCTTCTGTAGTGTTCCCAGAGCGAGGCTAGAAAATAAGGTTTGGGAACCACTCCACCTACTACTACTACGGCTACTAGTGGTGTCAATTTCTAGCGAAGCCAAATAAAGAGGAGCTACCAAAGTAGTTCTGGCGCCGGTGCCTGCATAATAGAAAACTATTTTGTTGGTACGATTGTCAATAATCATTGGTCGCTGCAGTGGATCTTATCTCTGCGAGCGTGGGAGAGAAGGATGTAGTGATTATTTTTATTTGGAGAATGGGAGGTCACAGTTGGCTTTGATGCTCCTTTTCTTCTCACATTGCAGCGTGCTAGGGTGATGCCCCGTTTCCAATGTGGCCTTTGCTTTTTGGGCACCGCTTGTACGCTGTGGACGGCCTAATAGGGTGTGTGGCTTCATGAAATTGTAGAGAAATTTGTTGGTGGGGATCTCTTATTTAGCTACAGTAGATTTCACATTTGTTTCAGCTAGTCATACCACTAAGGTTTATAAACGACTATTCACCCCTCTAGTCGGCCATCTCGACCTAGCAAGCATCGTATGGACCCGATCGCTCTCATCTAACTCCATGCCTTCATGTGCCAAGACCTGTCTCGTTCGCTTATCTCGTCTGATTGTTGATTCCAATTCCATGTCGATATGCCCTGATGCCCTCCATCTCGCCCCGTCGTTACCACTTGCCAATTCCATGCCAGCATGCCTTGATGCGATGCCCTTCGTCCCGCCCCGTCCTTGCCACCTACCAATCCCATGTCGTGACGCCCTCCAACCTACCCTGTCCTTACTACTTGTCAATCCCATACCGACACGTCCTGATGCTGGCAAGATGCATTCAAATAACTCGACCGGAGTGCCAAATGGTATCTTGCATTTGGTGTCAAGTGATTGAGTTGACATTGTTGAGTAATGGAATTGGAAAATTCTCATACAAAAAGATGCATTCAAATGACAATCATAAACCTTCCACACATCATTGCTTCCCTGGACCGCGCCTAAACACCAGTACCACGAACACGAATATCGACGCTTATCGGACGGCTACATGCCCACCTCGCGTACACCAGGCGCACCCAGAGACTACCGAAAGTCGCCGCCGCGTCTCCGCCGGGCGAAACCCGCGAGGGTCAGCGCTATAAATATCCGACCTCGTCGGAACCCTACCCTTTTGAGAACTCCCCTTCTCCGCCACTACCCAAGCTCTCCCTTGTACCCCTCACCGCCGCAGCTGCTGCTAGGGAGCTTCCATCCGCGCGCCTACAACGAGAGCTAGCAGCAGTAGCGGCCGCTATCTTGTCGCTCCGGCTCCGGTCGTGTACCCAAGCCCCAGCCCAGATGCCGCAGATGGAGGGGCCCGCTGATCAGATCGCCGCCGGCTGGTTCGCCGCAGAGCCGGCTGCCGAGCGGCCCGTGGGCCTGCCCAGGACCGGCTCGTCCAGTCGCCTCAACGCGCAGGCGCCGGAGTTCGTGCCGCGGGGGCCGCCGGCGCCGGCGCCGGCGGTTGTGGTGCCGCCTCCGCCTCAGGTGATCCGCATGTTCGCCGCGCCTCCCCCGCCTCCACGGTCTGCCTTCTTCGCCGCGCCGCCGCCCCGGCCGTTTGAGTACTACGCGCCTGTGGGGGGACGCAGCGGATTTGCTGTCAAGGAGCAGCAGGCGCCGGAGCCTGAGCCGGAAGCGGAGATGCTCCCGCCCGCCGCGGTGAAGGCGGAGCCGGTGGTGGATGGGCTCGACAACGAGGTCCTGCACAAGATCACGAAGCAGGTAGGTGTTTGTTTTCCGGTTATATGTTCAGACCAAGCCGATTTGAAAGCATATGTGGGAATCTGTTATTAAATCAGGTTTCAGACTTAGTCTTTTACGGGTATGAATCCGGGTTTATGCTTGTTTTGAGCGTGTATATACAAGAAATTTTGAAGTTGTATTGGTCAATACTCAATACTTCAATTTTATCTGTTGGAATCAACGTGGTATCACTAATAATAACTAAGACATTGCAGTGCTGAGTTGTCTCAGTACTGGCCAAGTTTTGTGATATGTTAGATCTGCATACTTCATTTGGGTGTTGACCTGAATGTTCTGAACATACGTTCTAGTTTTGCCTGCTAATGATCTCCTTTGGAGCATGTCATCGATACGTTTCCTTTGATACTATCAAGCGGTTGAAAAATTTAAGAAGCCAGCCATTTGTTGTTATAATTATGCTTTAGATTGAGGGAGTCATTCCTAGAGCCTATCTGCAGAATGTTGTTTTTTATGAATGGAAAAAGTAATATTCCAGGAAAACTGGGTATTTTCTCTAATCATAAATATAAGTTCATCTAGGTTTGTAATAAAGTTTGACTACCGATATGCAAATTTTATATAGATTGACCTCAAAAGATTTATTATGAGAATAACTTATACAATATATAAATCTTTTCATTTGATATAAATACATTCTTTTAGATACTGCAAGCCAAAGTTAGAAATGTTTGACTTAGGACCAATCTAGATGGACTTATTGTGATCAGAGGAATTATTATAGTATGGGGGAGGTAGATAAAAAAGTATGCCCATATTATTATTAGATGGTTGGTACTCCCCCCGTTCCAAATTGCAATTTGTTTTTGGCTTCTCTAGATACATAGTTTTTTTACTATGTATTAGACATAGCGAATATCTAGGTGCATATCAAAAGCTATGTATGTAAATGACTCAACATTTTGGGATGGAGTTTGATCCTCGTGCTGGTGAGTTACTCTGTGAGCCTGCCGCCCGGAATCAGTGCATGGCCTCCATGGAATTTGCATGGACGCATATTTCCAGCGTACTACGCCAGGAAGTGAATGAGCCATAGGCAACGGGAGTCGTACCACTAGTTTGCATGGCGATATGCAAACACGTTTGGGCTCCCGTGAAAATTAATTCTCTCCGTTGATGGATGCCTCGGATGGCCCATACGCCTTATTTATCGGACTTTTTTTTTCAAAACTCCCAAATGCCTTACAAAGCGGACCGGAGGGAGTAGTTGTCACCATGCTGTTCATATTTTGGTTGTGCAATATACCTTTTCAATTGCTCATGATTTGTCATATTGTTACTTCTCATTATCTTTTGTTGATGCAACTCCTACAATTGTGTTCAGGTCATTGTTCAGATATTAAAAACTTCTAACACCACAAGCATTCCAACTTGAGTGAATTCCTTGTTTCCATGTTCAGTTGAACTTCAAAGACTAAGTTTGGATAACTTGAATTTAGTTAGAATATGTTCTGTCCAAGTACGGAGTATTGTTAGTTTCAGCTGCAACTTTGTTGTACATTTTTTTTTTGCAAGCATGCCTTTTTTTATCAAATGGACTGGTATGTAAGCACTTTGTTTTGTACATGAAAAATTACAATATCTATATACCCTATCTTCCCTTGATGTTGTGATAGTAGTGCCCAATTTTTGTTTTCCATAGGTTCCTTCAGTGCATCTCCAACAGTATCTAAAAAATTGACTCCTAAAAACCTGGTTTTGGAACCTTTCTAAAAACTATTGGGTACGAAAAGAATATGCTCTACCAACAGTTCCCTTTTATTTGTTACTAAAAACATAAAAACATGCTCGTTGTTGTCTCCCGTACATACCACCTTGGACGAAATAACTCGCTGTCATGGCCGGATATCCCAATACCCTAGCTCACACCCAGAACCTTCTTCATTGCTTGCTCTACCTCCTAGTATTCTCAGATTTGTAAATAGTGGCCGGGAATCCAATTCCATGAAGCTCAGGCGGTGGCGGCAGTCTGGCTGTGGCTGGCTATCCTGGCACCATAACTCACACCCAGAACCTACAAAGTAGGATCTCCGTTCTCTGAGTATTCCCAGATCTAAAAATAGTGGCCAGAGATCCAATTCTGGTGAACCACCAGGTGGCGGCGGTGGCAGTCCGGGGCAACGGAGAGCGCTGAGGGAAAGAAAACAGACAGGGAGTATCAGTCATCCGCGTATCTTTCCTCGTGGATGTCTCTGTTTCCCTGAGCGCGGATAAATTGGGAGTTAGGATAAGGAACTGTTGGAGTGAGGCTTTTCTCCATCGTGCCAAATAAACAAGATTTGGAGTGGGTTTACCAAACTGTTGGAGATGCTCTACTGTGAAGATCGTTAACTTGTTTATCAGCCAGAGTGCCTTGTTATTTATCACATGTAGATTGGTATCCAGGAGATTCGGCTGGAGTTGTTGTGCAGTACTGTTGTATTGTTTTGTGAGTGCAGTTCTTGGAGATATGCCAACGCAATTGTTGTTTATTGTAATGCTATCTAATAATGTCATCAAATTTGAAATATTCTGTGATGCGCTGGAATCTCAAAAGGCAAAAATTATTTGAAGTGCTAGAGAAGATCCAAACAAAGCGGATAGTGCTTTTTAGTTGTTTAGGATTTAGGATCATTTTCCTTTTTCTGCTATTTTTACTAGTTTGATTTGATTAACTTAGCATACAATTTGCATAATGCTATTTTGTAGGTGGAATACTATTTTAGTGACATCAACCTTGCAACTACAGAACATTTGATGAGATTCATTACCAAGGATCCTGAGGGATATGGTGAGTTGTATATTTGTAGCTGAGCTACATTTTTTACAGGACACTTCATATTAGGATGATTGGGATCTACATGTTCCTAGTTCCTACTAGTGTCTTTATTAAAAAAAATAAAAATAAAAAAAAAAACAAAAACCAAAGAGATTGCTGGAGCAAACAACTTTAAGCTAAATGTATGATTACTTATACTTGTTCCATCTTGTTACTATGTCTTTCTCTAGCAAAGAGAAAAATCGAGTCTTATTTCTAAAGCAAAAAGAGGAAAAACAGTGGTTATTGGTGATTTCCTGTATGCTGGTTAACAAGGGCTGCCCTGTCCTTCACGTTTTCATCAGTGTAGGAATCTTGTTTGGTCAAGTAGGAAAACAACTGTATATTATGGCCCAGGATTAATTTTCCTTGTTTACAAATCGCAGTGCCAATATCAGTAATTGCTGGTTTTAAGAAAGTAAAAGCTTCTGTGCATAATAATGTGATGCTTGCTGCGGCTCTCCGAACCTCATCAAAACTTGTGAGTCTACTCATTCTCTGTTCCAAACTGTCATTTGAAGCCAGCATGATTTTTCGCTTTTAGCATCAACTTTACTTCATATATGAAGGTGTAAAATATCAGCTCATTTGTACTGATTTTTTAGCAAACCTCATGTATATTTGCTTAAATATCTCATGTTTCAGGTTGTAAGTGATGATGGTAAGAGAGTCAAACGGCAGGAGCCATTTACAGAATCTGATTTGCAGGAGCTCCAGGTATTAACTGATTTCTCTGCATCACTTGTTTTATTTCGTGAATTTGAGATTGCACACTGATCCATTTGGTTTCCTCTCGAAGTCCCGGATTGTTGTTGCAGAAAATCTTCCTGGTGATCCCTCCTACCAGAATCTTAAGAAGATATTTTCAGCTGTTGGCAGGTATGGTTATTTGCAACATGGCAGCACTTTTCATCTTTTTTCCTTCCCAGGATCATTAAAAAAGTAATATTTTGTCATGTTCCAGTGTGATTTCAATCCGAACTTGCTATCCTCAGACTCCAAATGGCACTGGTCCTGCAACTAATAGATCTGCCAAGTTAGATATGCTTTTTGCTAACAAGGTAACTGCCAAGTCCCTGCTTAAGTATTATATTACTGTTTCGTATTTTTCTTACATATCCTGTAATCATTTGTACTGATTTTTATTTTTAACCCTTTTTCGAAAATATTCACATTTATACCCCTGGGTGTCTTATTTGCGTCTTTGGACCCCAGGGGTTGGTGCCATGGCGCCGAGCCTCGGCCATGTCAGCAACTGGCCAAACGCCACCTGGGCCTCTAAGCTCAGCGCCATGGCCTATGGAACCGAGACGTGTTAGCTCGGCGCTATGGCCCATGGCGCCGACCCTTGGGGTCCAAACACGCAAATAAGAATGTGAATATTATTAAAAAAAAACATTAAAAATAAAAAATAGGCCCATTTGTATCTGTTAGAATCTTCCAAATAAATTCTTAACATGTTGTGAGCCAAACGAATCATGTGCATCTACGGTGCACCAAATTTTTCCAGAGGATGAACATTACTTTTCTAAAATATTACTTATAGCTACATTTACCAAAGGGAAATTTTTTAGCATAAACTACAGATATGCACTTGTCCGTTGCCCATCCTCTCTAGTTGACAATCCTTTTTTAGCTTAATATTTCCACTCACATAGTCACATGTTCTTTGCTTGTCACTTTAACTCATGGACATCATTTTGTGGGTTCATCGGTGCTTTTGTGATTTCTACATTTCATTAACATTGATGCTTTCAGTTGGAAAACTTATCTATGAAGTTCATTATTTGGGAATAATTGTAGCATAGGAGTTTAAAGTTTTCATGAAGTGGGTAGTGTTTTAGTTTAGTTTTTCTCAAAAACGTGTTTTAGTTTAGTTGAGTTGCTCACTGTAACCTTCTACTGTGAAGGAGAGAGGGAGGGTGGGTGGGGGGGAGGGGGCAACTAATTTTAAGTTAGGTACCAAAGGAAGTCCACTAGGAAGGATGAAAACGATGCATTGGTATAGTCAAGAACTTTCCAGTTCCCTTCACTGATAAAAAAATGTTCACCTATGCCTGTGATAGTACTCTGGAACAATTATTTTCCTCGAATTTCTGATCATGTGAAAATAGATCGTTACAAGTGTCACATGATTGAAGTTATCAATCCAAACTTGAATATTTTTTAATTACTTTTGCTGCATATGTTATTTTTGCATTACTAATGAGCTGATATTTTTCCTTTGAAATAGCTGCATGCTTTCGTGGAGTACGAAACTCCTGAGGATGTTGAGAAGGCAGTATGTATCAGTTCATGTTTTAGATTGCTTTGCATCGGTAAATATGCAGTTTACACAATTTCTTAACATTAGTTTGTTTCATGAAGATTTTGGAGCTTAATGATGAGAAAAACTGGAGAAATGGGCTTAGAGTTCGGTTGCTGAATACTTGCACGGTAATCATATACTGTATAACTCTGCTTTGGGGATTTCACCTTTTGGTGCATCTTGTGTGCTCAAATCAGTAAACAATTTGTTTTGTTCGATGAGTGACCTGTTTTCCTCTACATGATCAAATTGGAATCTCTCTTTCCTTAACCAGTTATGATTAAACCCTAGATGAGATCCATGTCTTCATCCTGGACTGCTGTTTAGTTTATTTTTGAAACTTACGTGCCCCGTCGGTTCTTGTACACTTTAACTTCTTATGTTTCTCTTGATTTAGGTGAAGGGGGCAGGCAAAGGAAAAAAGGGTGTGCATGAAACTGAAGGAAATGGTGAGGAGGATGTCTCCACTTCGAACCATTCAAACGAGAAACAGTTTGAAGAATCCTCTCAACTGTTTAATGTACTGCCGGAACACTTGGTAAGATACTGTTGTTGTGCCTTCTTTATCTGAACCCAAAAAACAGATTAGAGCAAAAGGAGTTCATCCAAAATTTATACATACTGAATACAAGTGCGTTTCTACTCGTGTTAGATACCATCTGATTCCAAATGTAGGTCGTTTAGGACAGTAACATGGCCTTCTATATGACAAAGGACCTGCAACATTTGTAAAATATACCATTCTAAATAGTGAATTATATCTTGTGGAAGTATTTTCCGTGATGCATTTGGTAAGATCAACCATGTGTTGTGAACGTTTCATATATTGAGCAAAGTTGAAAATGTTTGACCAGATAGAATCCTGAAACAACCTACATTTGGAATCATGTGGTATGTTCAAAGAAGGATCTAGGGCATGATTTTTTTTTCTTGCTTGATGTATTTGATTATTGGAGTATATATATTTTAGGTTTAGTTATGAACAACCTGTTCAACAACAAAGCCTAAGTTAGGAATAATCTATGCTCAATTCAAATTTTTACCTTGCTGCTTGTGACATTATTCAGAGGGTTCAGTTCATGATCAAATTGTTCCGTATAATAGATCATGTACCTGCCTTAGCTCGATTGGATATAACAGGATTTTTAGCAAATCACATTCGATCCATTGGGTGCTTTTCAGTTATTAGACTTGAATAGCATTTTGTGTCTGTCATGACTCTGTATCCTTGGAAAGTCTCATAGGGGATAATGATTTTCAATAACAAATGCTTTGGGCTGTGTACAGTTTGATGAGAACTTCAACAACAAGGAAAGCTTTTCAATAACAAATGCTTTGGGCTGTGTGCAGTTTGATGAGAACTTCAACGACAAGGAAGTTCCCAAACGCGGCAAAGGGCGTGGCCGCGGTGGCAGAGGGCGCGGCCGCGGTGGCAACCATCAATATAACAATAACCACCACAATAACCAGCATCACCAGAACAACCAGCAGCACTACAATAACCATGGCAACAACCACCTTGGTGGGAACCGTGGCAGCCCCCACCCTGCTGGAACTCCGCCACATAACCTGATAACTAAGCCCGAGCAGCACCCACAGCTGCCGATTGGGGCCAACAAGCTTCCACCAGGCCCCCGCATGCCTGATGGCACCCGGGGTTTCACCATGGGCAGGGGGAAGCCACAAGCTGTGCTACCTGTTTTGTGTGCTGTTGGTGAGTCTTAATGTAATGGACTAGTGTTGGTGGTGAGTGAGAGGCATTCGGATTGCTGCTCATATGCTTGTATATCATTGGTGGGAGTATTTGTTCGTGACCCTTCGCTGTGGACACGGTGAGTTGGTGTTGTCAAAACCAGATGGTTTGGTTCGTGTGGTACCGTCTCTTTGTAGTTGTGTCTGGGCAATTTGGTCGTTGGGAACGGGTATCTATCATTTTTTTTTTGTGAAAGATTGGTATCTGCCATAGAAGAGGACAGGGAACGAGATCATACTAAGGCCTTGTTTGGATGTCCACTTCAGCGCATATAGAATGAGGTCAATACATGGGTATTCATACAAGCACTAAGTGTGATGGTTTAGTCCGCCCGCCCTGTTTCATCATTTCGGTGCCAGGTGTCGGCGTGTCGCTTGAAGTTTAGTTTTGCTGTGGATCTTCCATGTACGAGCCTATCTCTTTTCTCTCTAAACCTGAGCCAAGCTCACGCCGTTCACTGGGCCACGTCACCACTTTTTCTCGGCCGTTCAATTTACGTGGTGAGTTCAATCGAGCCGTCCGTGCAGGCACCATTTCTTTTTTGTTTCGGCCCAGTTCCAGAGCCCTCGGAATCGGGAGTTTTGTCGACGCGGCGCGAACTCGCAGTTTAGTGCAGAGACCATGCTAGATGCGCCTATGTACGCCGCTGTCGCCGTCTTCATCCACAACGTCCAGCTCCTCCGATTGCTCCAGCTACGGCGTGTTCTCGTCGGCAGAGTCGTCGCAGCACCGCCGCCTGCGGCCCATACGCACGAGCGTCGCCGCCGCCACGGCGGCCACCGGGGTGCGAGGCGCCCGCGCCCGCGCTGGAGAATAAGAAGGCCGCCAAGAAGGTCGGCGCCAACATCTGCGTCAAGCTGAGGAACTTCCGCAAGCCGCCCGGCGCGTGACTCGCGGGGTTCCTCAACACCATCTTCAACGGCAGGCACGTGCCGCCGACCCCGCCGTCGGCGTCGCGTGGGGCGGAGTTCGCGTGCTCCACGGCGTCCTAGCGGTCCGTGCGGCTCCTGGACAGCGACGCCGAGGCGCCGGCCGTGGTGCTAGCTGCTGCCGCGGGGTGGGAGCTTGTGGTCCCCAAATGGAGCAAGTACTTCTGCTTCTGCAATATCCATGATCTCGAGTCTCAACGATGAGCTATTCGTCATGGTGCACTAACAGGCCAGCCTCTGCTCAAGTCCTCTTCGTGTACCTGCTCAAATCCCTTTCCTCGGGTAACACGTTCTTTTTTCACGTTACCCTGCATGTCATGTGTTCGACACAATGTCTAGGCCACTTTGGTAACATGAACAGAGAAGTTTTAATTTGAGGACTTGCGATGACAATTTATATCAGATGTTTATGTCATTCAGTGGCAATTAGTCCACTTGACTACATCTGGAATGCTCAACAAAAAAAGACTTCTCATGTCCTTTTCTTGCTTTTTCTTATTGCTTTGCATAATTATTGAGTAGCCTATTTGTCGGGGACCAATACTAGAGTATCTGAAGAGGAGTAGCTAATGACCATCAACATTGATTCATCCGAGCAGTCAAGGACGCGACTACAGCTCCACCCGACCCCAAAGCCACAGGCTCCGCCTCACCTGATCCTTGGGTTTGTGCTCCGCCTCGCCCGACCTCTGGGGGCGGGCTCCACCTCGCCCGACCCCGAGGCTACGGGCTCCGCCTCGCCCGACCCCGAGGCCACGGGCTCCGCCTCGCCAAACCTCGAGGCCGTGGGCTCCGCCTCTCTCGACCCTTGGGTTTGTGCTCCGCCTCGCCCGACGGAGACCCATACCACTGCCAACCACTCCAGGTCCAAACGTATGGGTCTAGGACAAAACTCTGACACCAAGGAAGAGATCGGCACGCCCCAATATAACCCGTGGCCATGACGGGCCATACTTGAGGATTCACATCAAGAACAGCGTCGGGCGTACCGGTGTTGTTCTGCCTATCCCCCGTACAAACGCTGACAGGCGCGTCAGCTCACCACGACGTCTGCTGCGATGGAATGGAACGCCATGACCAGCAGACGATGCCTGCGCATGGCGTTAGTAACGGACAGGGCCGCGACGCGGAGCTGTCCCTGTTGACATCTACAGGGTCGGCGGGACCCGCATGAAGGATAAGGACTCTAGCGATCCTAAATGACTTCTCTCTCTCGTTCTTCTCTTTTCCTCCGCTGTAACCCGTGCTTTCCCTTGGCCTATAAAAGGGAAAGCAGGGCTTCCCATGAAGAGGCTGATCCGATTAAAACCAATCAATCGAGATCGACACAAGAAGCATGACACGAGCACTTGGCTGAGCAGCAATCGAGCTCTTAGCACCCGTTCACTCATTTCACCAGAGACTTGGGATTCTTTCCCTCTCTCGCCCGTTTGTACCCCCTACTACAAACTTTCAGTGCTAGTAACATGAGCAGCAGCGACGAACTGGCCGTAGGGACTTTCTGCCCGAGCCAGTATAAACCTCATGTCCTCTAAGCACACCATCCGAGCCAGACGTGCAATAATACAAATTTACTCGTCGGTGGTAACTCGAAACACCGACAGTTACCGTGCTAGTTGATCCCGGCACGAAGAGCATTCCTCTCGAGCTGGCGTATCCGAGCCGTGATCTCGACGGCACGGGCCACGAGCGAGCTGGTCCCCTCCGACCACACCACATCAAGGTCGTCGCAGACCACTCCAAGGGCAGCGCTCAGGATACCGAGCTCGTCACTCTCCACATGAAGATTCCTCCTCACCTCGGCGAGATCCATAGCCAGCCCAGCAGAAACGCTCTCGGCCTCCAGCTTCTGGGTCATTGCGCTTTTGAGCTCGGTCTAGAGGGAGCCGACCTTCTAATGCGCGTCGTCGCACTCTTGGCAGGCCTAGTCACGCTCTCGAAAAGCCTGGTCGCGCTCCTCGCGAGCCACGCCACATTCGAGCGGAGCCTCTCCGCGGTTTGGATTAGTTCATCCCGCTCCTTGTGCAGCCGAGCGACCACCGCGACATCCAGGCTCGCCTTCTTCTCCAGGGTCGCGAGCTTCTCCTCGGCCCCCAGCTTCAGACCCCTTTCCTTCTCAACCTCGCCAAGAAGGTGAAGGATCCGCTGGCGGGTCTCGACGTCCTTCTGGAGCAACTCATCCCGGTCCTTCCACGACCTGGCGGCTTCTTCATCATCCTTCCGTGACCTCGCTAACAGGGCCTCGAATGCCTTCTCGGCCTCATCAACATCCCGACTACGATTGAAGACTGGCCACCTCCTCGGTGAGGGGAGTCAGCTCGACCACCCTCTACTAGGCAGCAACGAGCTGAGTTGTCACCTCCCCACGTAGCCGTGCCTTCTCGATGAGGCGGTCCTAGGTTTCCTTCTGTTGACGAAGGAACCGAAGTTTCCCCCGGCTGCGAGCTATAAGGGACTGTCAGAAAGACGATGGTCAGGATACAAAAAGTATATAGAGGAAGAAAAGAGCAAGAAGTAGGATCAAGCAATACCCGGCCGAAGGGAACGACAACGTCACGCAATGCGCCCGTGGCGTGGTCCAGGACCTCGAGCACGGACGCGATCCCTACGTCGAGGCTCTCCCGCTCTGTGCTCTCTGCGGCATCGTCAAGAGTAAAAAGCGTCGACGCTGGATCTTGCGGATCCGTCCACTGGAGCAGGGGCTCTTCTCGCGTGGGCGAGCCGCTGTCCACCGACGTCAGGGTCAGGGACGACTCCCCGTCGGCCCCAAGCGCCGCTGACCCTTCTCGCCATGATGTCCCCGCCGGGACACCCCTTCGGCGATGGAAGGGGTCAGCGGTGTGAATGCGAACCTCTTTTCCAGCACCACGCCAGGCGCCGTTGCTTGGGCTGCCGATGGCACGGGTAGCGCCGATGCCTCAGGCGACGCTGTGGTTGCGCCCGGCTGTGACCCATTTGTCATGGCCGCCGCCACCTCGACCTGCGTCGGCGGGGTCACGACCAGCTGCGCCGCGCCCGCCATGATCAGCTCCATGAGCGCGGTTGGTAGTCCCGTCCGTCCCGCTGTCGGCAGCGGTATCGCGGTCATCACCGGCTGCTCCGCGACCTCCAAAGGTGTCCCTAGAACGCTCGCGTCCGCCCGTCCCACCAAGGGCATAGGCGCCACCACGGGCAGCATCTAATCGTCCGACGACGCGGTCACACTAGCGCCGCTCCCGCCCAAAACAGGCGCGACACCAGCCGACGGGTGCCGCCTCGATTGGAGGGCGATGCTCTTCTTCGGCGCCAGCGCCAAAGGATTCCGTTGCCTACCGACGCTGCAAGGGACGAAAAACATAAGTCACGACGAAATTCGACTAAAATAGAAAAAAACAGAAGAATTGATAACTCACCTCAGTGCCGTTGGGTGGCAGATGCGTTTGGGGGACGAACCCCCGACCTTTGCTCCACCTCGTCGGAACGAGGCCGTTTCGATCCCGTCCCCTGCTCCTAGGCAGAGGGGCTCGCCCCTGTCAGCTCCTGGGGCACACTGGCGAAACGTCCCGGTCCCCTTGGCTCTTAGGGCGCGACGGCAGAGCCGCCAGCCTCCGCTGGCACCTTGGGCGCGATGGCAGAGCCGCCCGCCTCTGTTGGCTCCTAGGGGAGGCCGACGGTACGTCCCGCCTCCGCCAGCTCCCCTAACGTGCCCTTCCCTCCATGGAACGGGAAGGGTCCTAACGCCTGCAAGGACGAACCGATGCCTATTAACACATCTTCGTTCTTCAGGTTGTCCCACTCGATATCATCAGCTACCGATTCTTCTTCCTCCATCACCTCATCGTCGTCACCATCATCATCGTCATCATCGTTGTCGGTGTCCTCCCCTCGTTCCCACGCCTGTAGCTTCCGCTGCTTCTTCCTCTTCTTGTTCTCCTTCACCTTCCTCACCCGATCGCCCTCAGCGCGATTCGCTGCCCTCATGTTCGAATCCCTCGACAGCGACGCTGGGTGATCCGTGAGGATGAGGTCCCTCAGCTGGTCCCTCCTCTCTCAAAGTTAGTCTC